AAATATATATATATATATATATATATATATATACATTAACTAAAACATTAAACAAAAGTTACGTCAAACAAGTTCTTAGTGTTATTAAATTTTTCTCTTTTATCTTTGTATCATTCTTAATTATTTGTTTATTTAATTATATATATTTTACTAATTTATATTATAATGACTTTTCCGATGCATGACTGTGTCTTATATTTTCAATGATAGGCATGTCCTATGTACGTGTCATGTCATCGTATTGTCCCATGTCCGTATTCATACAACATAGATAGCTAGCAGTGGTAGGTCCATTGAACTTGATAATTGTCTAGAAGTTCTTGGCTATCACATCATTTATAGCCCACATACTTCCATATTGCTGGTCGGTACCATAGTTAGAACTTGGAGAACATACGCTACGTAAGAAGTGATGCTTTTGTATAAATGTTTTTTTTTTGTAGGTATTTATGCGTCCAAAATGACCTTAAAACTGAAATTTTCAAAGCGGGTTTAATATGAAGAATTAGCCGACCCCACGTAGTGGGATTAAGGCTTTGTTGTTGTTGTTGTTGTTGTTGTTGTTGTTGGGTTTAATATGAAGAATTGCATGCTCAAAGGTGTTGCCATCTTGGATATAAATTAGGCTTGTAGGGCTTTACTTGTGGAATGATTCAGGACTAATAAAAGGGCTTTTTTTAATTTTCCTGCAAAGTGATGCACATTTTTTTTCACAAATTCATAAAATTTCTTAACTTGATTGCCACATCCAGTTAGATTTTTCATAAACCATTTGGATTGTTTCTTCTAGTCCACGGTTTAGCTCCATGTCTGATTGGCACTTACTTACAGTCCTACCAAATCAAGGCTCCTAAACCCCTCTTCTGTGATATTTTCTGTGATCAAAAATCTTATCAAAATGCATCTCTTTGTCCAATATTCTAGTTAAGAAATGCTTATTAAATTGTAGTTGTGGGATTCATGTCTGCCTGATAAATAGGTCTCTACTGACCTGATCCCTGATTCACTAATGTTATAGTAAGCACGTGGTTATGATTTTCTTCCCCTCATCTTTTTCTAGCCTCACTTTTTAACACATTATTCCTGTTGCTTTCATTTTTGGTAGAGAATTTTCTTGTGCATCTTTAACTGTAAAGACCTAAAAGACAATTCTTCTTGTGTGCAGTTAGAGTATGATATTCTGGAATATGTTGTAATTGAACGTTTGGCACAAGGTGGGCGTGAGAAGCTAAAAGATGATGGACTTAATTTATCAGACTGGCTCCAGTCTCTTGCATGTTTTTGGGGTCACTTGTAAGGATCTTCCCTCTTTGGATACGACAAATTTTACTGGCATAACTTTGTGACTTTTTTATGATATCTTATAGATGTTGTTGATCATTTGTACATGTTTTTAGGTTTGTTTAGCACTTTCGTGTTTTTGCTTCTGTATTCTATAGGTTTTTAAGGTGGAATATGACTTGTTTCTCACGTTTCCCAAAGTCTGTAGTTCATTAAAATTGAACTTGCGTAATAGCAACATTTGGTTGATTTTAATCCCTGATAAAGGGCTTCTTAGAAAGTTTGCCTACAGAAACTGTTACTCATGTGATTTATGTCTAACAGTGAATAACTTCTAATTTTAAGCATTTTTATTTCCCCAAATTTCTATGATTGTCCAATTCATGCTTATGGCTATTTTACAGTTGATGATAAAAGACCGTTAATATATATATATATATATATATATATATATATAAAGA